TTTATTTTTGTATTATGAATACAATTTGTGACATTTTAATAAAAATTTGCATATAAAATAAAAAACAATAATCATACAAAACTTATTATTATATATAACTTTTACTTCACTACAATTGATGATACATAATTTTTATCTATTTTAATATTATAAATAATGAACTTCTTACCTTCAGTATTTAATTTACAAAAACGGTTGTAAAAGTTCAACGAATGATAAATTATTTTTCTGACATACAGTATCAGCTGCTGTCGAACATATTGCAGCAATTTGTGGTGAAAAAGCATTACATATAAATTCACGAGGGGTTAACTTACATTGAGCCATGATACTTGCTAGAAAATCTATGAGTAATTAAGATTATGTTTAACTAATTACACAATAACAATCATTTTGAGCGCTAAATTGTTATCATTCATTATTTTATTAAAAATTGACACAATCAAACTTTCATTATATCCCAAAGCAATAGTAAACATTTTAAACAGCTGTTCTATGAATATTTACCTATGAAAGGTAAAAATATGAAGATGATATATCTATCCTGATATTAGTCTTCAAACGGAAATACTATATATAATTTTTTTCAAATTTAATACTATAGATGGCAGATCTTTGGATAAATTCAAAAGAATTATAATATTCAAAAGAATAAAAATATTTAATCATTTCATTGAATATTTTTAATATATATGATAGTTATTTAAATTTATTAAAAAAAATATATATTTTATATATTGTATTTTTTGTTATATGTAATTGAAGTTTATATCGGGAAATTTATTTCGTAAATAGATAAAAAAGTTAATAAAATTTATTAAATTATATATATAATTTATAATATTAATATATTATTTATTAATAACATATATAACAATCAAACAAATTATATATAAATATAATTAAATATATAATATATTAATTATCTAATAAATAAAAATATTATATTATATAATATAATAAATATATATATATTATATTATATATTATAATTATATATTATTTAATATAAATTAAATAAAAATTGTAGTTTAACGGAGATATATACAAATACATATACGTATTTTTAACTAATAAGAAATAATACAAAATGTTCTAAAAATTAATCGAAAAAATTTTATTAATTTCTGAAAAATTTCAAGCAACAATTCTTTGCAAAAATTTTTTTTTTTAGTTTTGTTAATAAATTATTAAGAAAAATTGACCATATTACAAATATATAGAAAATCATTGCAATAGTAATTTACGTACATGACTCTCGCTATCTGCGAATTATCGAGTTCAAATAAACAAATAGAAGCAATATATATCAAAATATATGTGCTAACAATTATTAGTTAAAAGTTATATCAAATTATACTTTATTCATAAACAATAAATAAACTAAGTATTTAATAGTTTATTTTATACTTGTATCTGTTCTTGTACAATATTATTTTAATTATTTATATTTGTATATTATTTAATTTATATCTGTATACTTGCATATGAAAGATTGATAGTAACTCTAATAAACAAATTAAAAATAATCTTAATAGCAAATTAAAGTTATATTGGCATCAGAAATGGCAATTCATCAAAACCAACAAAATCTATTTCGTCATTTGCTTTTAGTTTTGCTATCATGTTATCCAAAACAAATTATAAATTAATGTTAGAAATGTTGCATATACTATGTTATGTTTTTACTGCTAATTTACATAATTATAAAAAGAAAAGAACTTAAATATTTTTAATATTTTTCTGCTATATTTCTATTATTAATCAATTTATTAACTTATTAACTTATTTATTATAACAGATTCTTTATCAAATCTACTTTTAGATAACAAACTAATATCAGGATTTGAAAAAGATTTGAAATCTGCTGAAAATAGTAAAAGTTGATAAAATCTGTACGAAATGGCCATCTATTTTCATATTAGATCTTTAATTAGATAGATAATATAAGCTGCTACTAAATTGGAGATGAGAATAAAACAAAGTTTACGCAGTAAATTGTGATGTCAAAAAAGTAATAAAAACTAAATACATTCTACAATTTCAAGAATTTAAATTTTAAATGCACATAATTAGATAGATTATAATCATTTTGAACATAATAAGAACCATCATAAATTTAATAATATTTTTTTTAATAAATTCTTTTTTTTGTAAAATGAATTCTAATATTATTAATGAAATAAATTTTAAATGTTAGTTATGCTATTTAAAATTTAAATGATTGAAGTTGAAAATTTGCTACTTTTGCTGCCTTATTAACAACAAAATCTGCTGAAGTAAATTGTTTTGTTTTTATTTCTAAATTGACAACAAATTATATTAACTGATTCTATCTGTTTTTTGTTTATCTGCTTTAATAGATTTTGTTATATTTTTACTCTCAATCTATTAACAAATTTGGATATATTAAATTTGCAATTTTTCTGATGAAGAATTTTAATAAAATCTGTTATTAGATTTGATTGAATGTATTTTTATTTTTATTATATATTAATGATTATATATTAATAAACATAAATTTGAATTCAAATTTAAAGAAATATATTAAATATAATGTATTTGCAAAAATATTATAATTTTTATAATTATATAGGATGTTAACATATTCGATGCGAAGAGCTGATATTCTAGAAATCAAAATAATTTTGCAATCGCGAAAGTTGATATATAAAAATTATTATTATTATATATATTTTATATATGTATAAAAATATTAATATTAATATTAATATAAAAATGTTGAAATTTATTTATTAATTTATAATTTTATTATAAATCATTTTTTTTCGTTAATTTATAATTTTATTTACTAAATTATAAGCAATTAAAATTATCTTAGATGAAATGAAATAGAGATAAAATAATTCCTTACTTCATCTAATTCAGTATTCAATTATTTATAATTTAATTTATTAAATTAATTAATTTATAATATAATTTAATTAAATAAATCATTATTTTTGTTTTAATCTTTAAAATCGATTTTTCGAAAGTATCTTATGAATATATCAATACCTTGCATAACCTCATTTCATGAAAAAATATATAAATATTGAAAAAATTTATATATTAATTTAAATTTTTTTCTAACAATTTTTATCATATTTTATTATTCTATATATATATAGAATAATAATATATATAAATGTTTATAATATTATGAATTAGAAAATCGAACATCTAAAAAATATCGATTAGTGAAACGAATTCGATAAAAAAAAGATCGAAAATTTCATATTATTCAACTATCGATAAATATTGTCGACTTATCGATAATTTACAATCTAGTTAAATATATACATATACATAATTCCTTTAGATCATCTTAGATCGCGTAATCATTAACAGTTTTTTCGTAAGCATATTGATGTTTTAACTCTTATTAAGATTTAGTTTATAATTATATAAAAAAATATTATATGATATGAACATATAACAGGTAAAAAAATATATAATTAGTTTTATATAAATGAATTATTATAATAATTTTTATATTGTTTGACATTCGAATTGTATATATGACAACTATGTAAGTTTATAGTTTGTTAGCAACACATTCCTTCAAGATAAACAAATCCTTATTTATATAAATGATTGATTAAAATATTTTTTATTATAAATAGAATATACATTTCTGTAACAAAAAAACATCAAAATATTATATTTGGAAATTTAACTTTTTATTGTTTTAAATATAATAAAAATTGCAATAAAAATTTTATTATTATAAATACATATAAAAATATTTGATGACTTTATTTAAATGTATAAATTTAAAATATTATATTTTATGTTTATATATTAGTATTTTAATGAAAGAATATCTTTTTTCATGTTTCAGTTGAGCAACAAATGATATATATAATGTATTTATATAAATCTTATATTTAATTATTTAATGTAAATTGATAATGTAAAATTATAGAAAAAATATTCTAATTGGTATGTATGTTCTAATATCATAAATCTATATTGGATTTAAATATTAAAAAATATTTATTATACAAATGTATCAATAAACAAATTAAATTTTTACATGAATGATTATCTTCTACTAATAAATAAAATTTAGTGTACTATTATATGATATAAAAACATGGCAGAAAATGGATCTATCATAATACCAAATATAAAACAATTACATGAGAATGATCATATATCTATTACTAATCTAGATTATTCTAGCATTAGAGGAAAGGTATTTTTTTTAATCTTATATATATTTTCAATAATCTTATGATAAATAATAAATTAATTTTAATAAATTCCAGAGTGTTTTAGTTAGTCCATCAGAAGATCAATATGAATTGTTACTTAAACGTTTAAAAGAAAGAATTCAAGATGGTGGTAGTGAAACAATTTTTGATATTGGTATTGGTGGAGGTATATATTTTATTCTTATAATATTTATAAAAAGTTTTTATATAGAAATATTCATAATTTGTGTCAATTTAGATGGTTCTGAAGATGGTTTAAAAGAAGATGAATATGAAGCATCACTTGCAACTTTACAATCTCTTGCTGCAACATTAGAAGCAGATTGTGTACTTTTACGTCAGAGTAAAGTTGATCATGGCCTTATAGGACAATATTTGGTGCGAAGGCGTTTAGATAGACAAGATTTCTTAGAAATAAGGTATTTGTTTTAAAAAGATAATATTAAAGTAAATAGTGTTATATATATTAAAATAATGTTATAATAATATTATTAGTGAATTTTAATTTAAAAGATTTAACTTATAGAGTGGCTGTTGTTGGTAATGTTGATGCTGGGAAATCAACACTTTTAGGGGTATTGACACATGGAGAACTTGATAATGGTCGAGGTTTAGCACGTCAAAAATTGTTCCGACATAAACATGAAGCTGAAACAGGACGTACTAGTTCAGTTGGAAATGATATTCTTGGATTTGATAGTGTTGGTATGGAAATAATTTGATAAGTTAAAAATAATTACATCATTATATCATCGTAATGCATATCATAATGTATATGAACATATTTTAAATTTAGGTAATGTAGTAAATAAACCAGAACATGGATCTTTAGATTGGGTTAAAATATGTGAGAAATCTTCTAAAGTTATTACATTTATTGATTTAGCTGGTCATGAAAGATATTTGAAAACAACTGTTTTTGGGATGACAGGACATGCCCCTGATTTTGGTAAAATTATTTTCATTTAATTTAGATAATAATTTTACATAATATTTATTATGTATATTTTAAATTTTAATAATTATATTTTAAATTTATTTTTAAAATGTAAATTTTAATGTAAATTTATTTTAAATGTACAATTTTTTAAATATTTATTTAAATTTAGGTATGTTAATGGTTGGAGCAAACGCTGGCATTGTTGGTATGACAAAAGAACATTTAGGTTTGGCTTTAGCTTTGTCAGTTCCAGTATTTGTTGTAGTTACAAAAATTGATATGTGTCCACCAAATATATTACAAGAAAATTTAAGATTATTAATAAGGATCTTAAAGTCCCCAGGTTGTAGAAAAGTACCTGTTACTGTAAAAACTCCTGATGATGTTGTTGTTAGTGCTACTAATTTTGTATCAGAACGGTTAGTTTTTATCTGTCTATATTAATATTCTATAATATTATATCATTTTTATATTTTAATTATTGATATATTTATGTAGATTATGTCCTATTTTTCAAGTATCGAATGTTACGGGAGAAAACTTAAACCTCCTTAAAATGTTTCTAAATTTATTAACTGCAAGAATGAGTAGTCATGAAGATGAACCAGCGGAATTTCAAATAGATGATACATATTCAGTGCCAGTTAGTATTTAATTTTCACGAGTAAAAAATTGTTTTAATCTTCATTCTATATGTTTTTAGGGAGTAGGTACTGTCGTTTCTGGCACAACATTAAAAGGTATTATAAAATTAAATGATATTCTATTATTAGGACCTGATCCTTTAGGTCGATTCATTCCAATTGCAATAAAAAGCATTCATAGAAAAAGAATGCCTGTTCGAGAAGTAAGAGGTGGCCAAACTGCTAGTTTTGCATTGAAAAAGATTAAAAGATCGCAAATTAGAAAAGGTATGGTAATGGTTGCACAAGTATTAAATCCACAAGCTTGTTGGGAATTTGAAGGAGAAATTCTTGTATTACATCATCCTACAACAATAAGTTCTTGTTACCAAGCTATGGGTAATTTTATCTTTTAATTGAATTTTAATATAGAATTTATTATAATATTTAGAATAATACTTAGAATAGATTATTATAATATTTAGAAATATTTGAAATTTTTAGTACATTGTGGAAGTATAAGACAAACAGCATCTATAATTTCTATGTCACAAGATTGTTTAAGAACAGGTGACAAAGCTTTAGTACGTTTTAGATTTATAAAACATCCTGAGTATATAAAACCAGGACAAAGAATGGTATTTAGGGAAGGACGTACTAAAGCAGTGGGCAATGTAATAAAATTAATTCCATATTCTAACACTACAGTTATACAAACATGTAGAACTAATAAGCCAAATAAAATATCTCAAAATCGACAAAATTCTTCATCTGCAATACAAGTATGTATAAAAAAATATTTATTTTTCTCATACAAAAATAAGAATTTTACAAATGATATATATAAATTTATTTATTAGTTACTAGATACAACTGAAACAAATTCTTCATTTGAAGGACAAACATCAAAACAAGAAAATATACTTCAAAAATCTAATAAACGTCAAAATAAAAAAGGTAGAGGACGAAGGGGAGGACGATCTCATAATACAATAAACAGTATTATTCAACCATTATCAGAACAAAATCCTCCTATGAAATTATGAATTATTTTATGTTTTAAACTTTTAAACATGTATATACATAGAAACTTATATATTATAAAACGCCAATATATTTATGAGACATCTTTGAAGAATTGATTCTAGAAATTAAAACAAACGAAAAAATTCGTATACAAAAATGTTGACTGAAACTTATTTATTAAGTTACAAACAGTTGCATTAAATGAAATAGAAAAAAAGAAACAACTCTTCAAAAAGTGCCTCATAAATCTATATTAATTCTATATTATCAGATTATTTTACAATTTTCAAAAATTAATATAAAATTGTTTACTTTTAAACGATTCTAGTTTTCATTTTTAATAATTATAATTCTAAAAAATACATTATACAAATATAAATATATTTTTTAATTAATTTTCAAGAATTGTAAAATATACTGTTTATATACATATATCGTGCGCACGCGCGCATATGTGTGTTATGTATAAATAATATATTTTTATTTTAGTAGTTATTTATATTAAAATATATATAAAATTATTTCATATAATAATGGCAATTTTATCTAATTTGGGGTTACTTATATTCTTAAGAATTTTGATCTTTACTTTCAATAGAAAAGACCCCTGAATTATTAATCTAACATACAACGTGCTTTCAACCCTATTAGAGTACAAATTGTCTTTCACAGTTTTTGAGTAAATTAATTAAAAAATTTAAAATGTCGTTTTTAAATATATGAAAAAATATGTTGTTATTCTTAAAGTGTTTTATTTTTATAAATACATAAATGTATTTCAAATAATATTTAGCAAATATAATCTATATACAAAATATTCTTTGTTTTTTTTTATTATTATTATAAAAAATATTATAATTTTTGCCTATATTATAATTTTTAATATCTTAAACAAATTTTAAATGTATAACAAATTAATTGTATTATATGTTAATATTTTTATTATTTATAATTGTATTAATATTATGACATTTTAAAAACAAAAACAAATTATTTATCAAATTGAATTTATAATGAAACTTCTATAACAAATAATCTATTTTTACATTGATGAATAAAATTTTTTATAGAAAGAAAATATAATTATATTTAAAGATGTACTAGATATTTTACTTTTTATAAATAATCTTTTTGAAAATTTTTATATTAACAATACTATAATTATAGCATATCTATACAATAAATAATAATAATGTAAAGTAATAAAAAATGAAAGGATTTATTTTTTATTACTTAATAAAAGAAAATAATAAA